TCTAACACCATACACTGTAGGATAACATAGGTTTGTCATTTCTCCCTGGCCACAAGGTGCTTAGGTTTATTGGGTTATACCCATGACAGTGCTCCCAAGGCACTCCCATTCCTCTGTGTTTATCTTTAACCTCTTCTCTGTGCTCTGCTTCCCCAACCAGTTAATCACCATTTTCCCCTAAGCAGTACCACTGACTTGTAAAGTCAAATTCTCAGAAATCTATGATTTTGTATTTGTAAGTGAAATATTGCTTTTCTCCTTCTCCTTTCTTTTGCATAGTTTACTTCAGAGCAATGTCCTTTTTGTATAGACACAGGAAGACAACTAATGTTATGCTTTTGTAACTTGGGAGTTAATTGACTTGACTATATATACACCTAGGCATCTGTTTTCTCCACTTAAGCCTCAGTTGCCCTTAGTTCCTAGCATCCCAAAAGCAGGGTCCCAATGAGGGACTAGATGGACCCAGGGAAAGTTGTGAACTACCCTGACATTGAAACAAGCTAAGCCAAGTGCCATAATACTTAACTATAAGTTAAGAGCATGGTCATAGACAAATTCTGTCATGATCCAAAGAGCAACTAGATTAGGACCCTGCTAGGGTTAGGAAAAACTAATCTGATCTGAGCACTGTAGTCTAAGATCTATAGCAAGATGTCCCCAGGAGAGACACCCTACAAGCTTAATGTATCTCTTACTGTATCTATACAAAATGACTAATATTATTAAGTAGAATTAAGATGAATGTTTAAATGGTTGTTGGAATAAGGAAAGGAGAAACACACCCCTAGATGGCATTTCACCCTTGAGCTGAGCAGATCTCCAGGCTGCTGGAGACCTTTGTCTTATCTTAGAAGAGCTGCCCTCAAAAGAAAGGGCTTTTATATGTTGATTGTGCTACCTGACCTAGGTGCTAGTTGCTCCACCAACTTGAAGTCAAAACAAAATGGATTAAAGACCTAGATATCAGACCTGAATCCATATGTTACATGGAGGAAAATACAGACAGAACTCACCATGACATTGAAACTAGAGGCATCTGAAGGATAAGATAACACTGACCAAGCAATTAGAAGAAAAAATAAACAAACAGGATTAATTTAAATTCAGAGGTTTTAGCACCTCAGAGGAACCAATGACCAAAATACAAAGACAGTTCACAAACTGGAAGAAATAATTTGCCTTCCACTCATTCGACAAAGGCCTAATATCCAAAATATATAAAGCACCAACAGAAGTCTACAAGAAAAAACATCCAACCCTATCAAAAAATGGAGAGAAGCGATGAACAGGAACTTACTCAAAGAAGAAATACAAATGATCAAAAGGTATATGAAAAAATGTTTTATATCACTAATCATTGAGGAAATTTAAATCAAAAAAAGATATCATCACTTTAAGACTGGCACTTAAAAATGAACAACAGTCAGGTGAGGATGTGGTGAAAAAGGAACCTTCATCCACTGTTGGTGGGAACGTTAACTGGTCCAGCCTGTTTGGAAGACAATACGAACATTCCTCAGAAAACTAGGAATTGAGAGGCTGGAGTGATAGCACAGTGGGTAGCTGTTTGCCTTACACATGGCCAACCCAGATTTGATCCCCAGCATAGGAATAGGGTCCTCAAGCACCACCAGGAATAATTCCTGCATGCACAGGAGTAACCACTGAACATCACAGGGTGTAACCCAAAAAGCAAGCAAATAAACAAACAAAAAACCCCAAATAAACAAAAAACAAAAACTAGGAATTAAACTTCCATATGACCCAGCAACTCCATTCCTGGGAACATAATCCAAGGGCTCAAAGGTGCAATGCAGAAAAAACATCTTCACTTCTATGTTCATTGCAGCTCTATATACAGTAGCAAAACATGGGAACAACACAAATGCCCATGAACAGATGATGTGTTAAAGAAACTATAAGCAATGGAATACTACTTGGCTGTAAGAAAAGATAAAGTCATGAAATTGGCTGCAATGTGGATGGATCCAGAGAGTATCATGTTGAGTGAAATCAGAGGGAGAGAAGAGAAACAAGCTCAGAATAATCTCTCTCATATACAGGGATATAAAGAAACTTCCGGGAGGTATATCTAATGCCCAGTGGCAACAGAAACCAAGAGCAGAACTGGTCTTCAGTAGAAAGCCTGCCCTGGGACAGGGTGGCAGGGGATAAGTTAGGAAAGGGAACACTAGGACAATGGTGGAGGAGGAAAGCGCCTGTCACAGAGGCAGGCTGGGATCAGGAGGGAAACTGGGAACATTGATGGAAGGTGAAAGAATTGGTATTGGAACGATATACACCCTGAAACTCAATCATTAATATCTTTCAAACTTTGTAATTCATGGTGACTTAATAAAATAGAGCTAAAAATTAAAAATTAATTTAGTACCAGGGCTGCATGGCCGGGGCTGGAGCAATAGCACAGTGGGTAGGGCATTTGCCTTGCATGCAGTCGACCCGGGTTAGATTCCCAGCATTCCATATGGTTCCCTTAGGAGTAATTCCTGAGTACAGAGCCAGGAGTAACCCCTGTGCATCGCCAGGTGTGGCCCAAAAAGAAAAAAGAAAAAAAATTAATGCACAGCCTAGAATCCCAAAACAAACGGACGAGAGCAGTGCAGTCTCTGCCCCCGCGCCTCGGTGTTCCTTCCCGGAGTCCCTTGGAGGGGAGCGGGTTGAGCTTTCCTCCCCGCCCCGGCCAGGGCTACGGCAGCCAGAGACCTCCAGGACCAGCCACCACCATGCTGAGACCACTCTCCACACACCTGAAGGTACTGGCAGAGGGACAAAGCCACGCGGGTTCCGGGGCCGAGACCTCCAAGCCTACTCGAATTGGAGTCGAGCATCTTCCACCCAGATCCTCCAAATTCCAGTAGGCGGGGGTCACACCCACCACCTGGCCCCCTGGCGCCGTGTAATCCCATAAATAAAACCAAAGTAAGTTTTTTTTTTATTAGTGAAACACCATGAGGTACAGTTATAGACTTACAAATTTTTGTGCTTGGGTTTCAGTCACACAATGATCAAGTACCCATCCCTTCACCAGCGCCCATCCTTCAACATCACGTGTCCCAGCATCCCTCCCACCCCCCATTCCCCCCTTCCCACCCTGCCTCTGTGGCAGGGCATTCCCCCTTGTTCTCTCTCTCTCTCCTTTTGGGTTCTGTGGTTGGCAAGAGAGGCATTGAGTGGCAGTCATGTTTGGTCTATAGTCTACTTTCAGCATGCTTCTCCCACCCTGGGAGGATCCTCCCAACACCCTTTATTTGGTGCTCTCTTCTCTATCTGAGCTTCCTTTTCCCCTAGCACGTGTGGCTGGCCTCTAAGTCATGGAGCAAAATTCCTGGTACTAATCACAGCCACTCCTGGGTGTTAGTCTCCCATTTTGTTGCTTTATGTTCCCCAGAACCAAAGTAAATTTTTAGAGAACTAGTGAATACACAGTAAGTTCACCAATTACAATCTCAGGAAGATATACAACCGAATATGTGAATATATGGATACAAAACCAAAACATGTAAAAATCCAAAATAAGGAAAAAAAATTTTTTTCCTTCTTAATCTATGACTAGAAAGATAACATACGCTTTGCATCTGGGAACCTCAGGTTGGATCCCTGGTATCATAGTTTCCCCCAAGAACCACCAGGAATGACTCCCAACCCCAACCCCAAGCACTGTTCCAGGATTGCCCACAAACATTCCTAATTGTGATCTGAAAAATCAAATAAACAAAAAATTCCTTACCCAGGCTAGAGCAATAGTACAGTCGGTAAGGTGCTTGCCTTGCATGTGGCCACCCAGAGTTCAATTCCTGGCACCTGATATGGTCTCCAGAACACCAATGGGAGTGATCACTGAGCACAGGGCCCTGAGGATAAGGCCTGCGCACCACCAAATATGACCCAAAAATAACAAAACAAACCAAAAAAAAGTTCTTTACACAGCACATCTGGATTCAAAAAAATAATTATAAGCAACAAAGTTTATGAGTATGGTATAAATCTAAGTAAGAACTGAGGATAAAAAATGCAACTACAATATCAAACAGCACCTGATCAAATATTCTACTATTTTTTATCTCTCTTTTATTTTTGTTTTCTTTTCCATTTTTTTCTTTTTTTTATTACTTGTTTTTCCTAATTTGACTATTTTGATATTCCGAATTTGTACTTAATATAACACTAGCACAGAAAAAACTCTTACAACACCACATATAAAAACATCTCTGAGAAGTTACTATTATCAATTATTGGTCTCTCCTTACTTTCTACTACCCTTCCACACTTGAAAAAAAAAGAGTATCTCAGCTACAAAAGAAAAAAGAACACTTCTAAAAGGAAAATGAAGTAGCAGCAGGTAAGGAAACTCTCTCCTGTGATTCACCCGGGTATAGCATTTGACGTTTAGTTTGGTTTAGTGTCTGGGCCACACCTCACAGTGCTCATGGCTTATTGCATGGGGCCAATCCAGAGTCAGTAAGTCAAGCCCCTAAACTCCTAATCCATCGATATAGTACTTCATGTGTACTTTAATTTTGTTTTGTTTTGTTTGGGATCATACCCAGCAGAGAGGCGGATGCTCCAAGCTTAGTGCTCAGGGAACACCGTGATGCTCACTATCAAGCCTGGGGCTATACACAAAGCATTAGCACTAGCCCATGGAACTATCTCCCCAGGCCAACTTCTACTTTTTATCTCCTTTATCATAAAAAGTAATGGGCAACAGTGTGAATAATTCTTAACATTAAAGACTAACTTATCACCAAAAGACAACTCATAAAACACTTTAAGCTAGAAACTAACATAACCATATGAACTACAAATCTTCTCCCTCATCTCATCCTTAATATGCAGTTCATAATCGTCTACTTAAAGGTTTCAGTAGAATTTCAAATATAAAACATAAAAAGAAGCCAGAAATTTAATTTTCAATTAATACATTGCATTAGAAAATGTTCAACCATTTTTAAAGGCTATTAACAAACATTACTTACTTTAACAGCAAATTTCTTTGATGCCATGGCTTACTGATTCCAGAGTAATTACAGGCATTTAGACCTTTAAAGAAAGAAAAAAAAAGTAAAAATATGTACATCAAAATCTGTTTCTTTTTGGACATTACTTAGGAGAAAGGTTGGCTAAATATTCAAACAACAATAAGTATTTGTAAGGTAAGTGTTCTTTTAAAAATACTATGCTGACATAGTCATTAAAAAACTGTCCACACATACACAAAAAGAAGCACAATCCCAGATATAGTATACCAAATGTTTAAAGAACCAATACCATTTCCTAAATTCTTTTTTTTCAAAAAATAGGCGCAGAGGGGGCCAGAGCGACAGTACAGTGGGTAGAGCATTTGCCTTGTGCACGGCCAACCTGGGTTCGATCCCTGCCATCTCATATGGTCCCCTGAGCAATGCCTGGGGTAATTCGTGAATGCAGAGACAGGAGTAACCCCTTTTATTACTGTAATAAAAGGAAAAAAAACACACACACAAGTAAAAATAAAATTCTGGGTCAGGAATGCAACTTCTTGGGAGAGTAGGTACTTTGCAGAGGTGAGGGCTTGGTTTTAAATCACAGTAACAAGAGGATACTGCACAGATCAGGAGGAGCTCCTGAGCACAGAAGACCCCCAAAAAAACACAAAAAAAAAACCGAAGACCACCCATCTGTTTATTATTTTTTAGTTTTAAAAAAGAAAAACTAACATACTAGAAAGAATAGGAAACACACTTAATCTGAAAAAGAGCCTGTTTGAAAAGCCTGAAGCAGCGATCACATGTAACAGTGAGATTGCTTTCTCCCCTAAGATGAGAAAAATTCAGTGATGCCTATTCTTGTCACTTCTATTCAATACTGAATAAGGCCATCATGTAAGTAACATAAATAAAAAGCTTCAAACTGAAGGAAGAGGTAAAACTATCTTTACTTGGAGAAGGGAACACCAAGTAAAGGATGTTTGGAAGATTCTCTTGGGATGCGAGATGCGTGCTGAAAGTAGACTATAGACCTAACACAAAGGACACTCAAAACCTCTATTGCAAACCACAACACCCTAAAGGAAAAAGAGAGCAAAAGGGAATGCCCTGCCACAGCGGTGGGGTGGGGGGTGGGGGGGAGGGAGGGCTTCTGGGATCATTGGTGGAGGAGAATGGGCACTGGTGGAAGGGATGGGCACTCGATCATTGTATAACTGAAACCCAAGCATGAAAGTTTGTAAGTCTACAATGGTACGACATGGTGTTTCACTAATTAAAAAAAAAAACTACCTTTACTCACAAATGACAATACATATTTTCATAAATAAAAATCCCATAGATGTTTTAAAAATTATTAGAATTAATAAATAAACATACCCACCAACTGCCCCTAGCGCCATGTTATCCCATCAACAGCCAAAACCCAGGGACTATAAAACCCAGCTCCCAGAAGCTCCTCTTATTGTCTAGTTCTCCCTCTCCGAGAACCTGGCAGGCTACTGAGAGTATCGTGCCCACACGGCAGAGTCTGGCAAGCTCCCTGTGGCAATTCAATATGCCAAAAACCAGTAACAATGATGGGTCTCATTCCCCTGATCCGGAAAGAGCCTCCAATGTGGCACTTGCTAAAATATCAGGGCTAGGATGAATGGAGATGTTACCGGCGCCTGCTTGAAGAAATTGATGAACAACAGGATGACAGTGACAGTGACAGTGAATAAATAAACGCTGCAAGTGTGAAAGACCTACAATCAATATTCACTGTCACTGTCCTCCCGTTGTTCATCGATTTGCTCGAGCGGGCCCAGTAACATCTCCATTGGAGACTTTGTTGTTACTGTGTTTGGCATATCGAATATGTCACGGGTCGCGTGCCAGGCTCTGCCGTGCAGGCGAGATACTCTCGAAATAATAATAATAATTACACTGCCAGGGAGGTAGTTTATGGAGTTAGTGTGGCTGCTTTGCATGCTGAAGGCCTGGGTTCGAACCCTGATTCACCAAGTACCGTCACAAGTATCCTAAATACCTATGGATGTAGCCCCACACCCCACACACAAAAAAGTCAATTTCTTGTACTTTTATACACCAGGGGTGAATAATACTGAAACAAGATTAAAAACACACTTTCAAATAAAATAATATCAAAATGAAAACAATTAAGAAAAAAATTTGAAGAGCTAAATCACAATACACCAGACATTAAAGACATGTAAACAGACAAATCTTCATAAAAACACAAGTGATATACACTTCAACACAATATCATTTAAAATTCCCAGCTGACATCTTTATAGAATCTGATAAATTTAATTTTTATTTTTTAATTGAGTCACCATTGGGCTGGAGCGGGTACTATTGTTGTTACTGGCTCAAGCAGGCACCAGTAACATCTCCATTGTGAGACTTGTTGTTACTGTTTTTAGAATATCGAATATACCATGGGGAGCTTACCAGGCTCTGCTATGCAGGCGGGATACTCTCAGTAGCTTGCTGGGCTCTCCAAGAGGGACTGAGGAATCAAACCCAGGTTGGCTATGTGCAAGGCAAATGCCCAACCCTCTGTGCTATGGCTCCAGCCAAAAATAAGTAACTATTTTTATGTTTTTATTTTATTTATTTTTAATTTTTATTAGTGAAACACCATGAGCTATAGTTGTAGACTTACAAATTTTTGTACTTGGGTTTCAGTTATACAATGATTGAGTACCCATCCCTCCACCAGTGCCCATTCTCCACCACCAATGATCCCAGTATCCCTCCCTGCCTCACTATTTTTAAAGGCTGGACCTATAATCTGCTAGGGTATCTGCCTTGCAACGGCTGACCTGGGTTCTATCCCTGGCACCAAATTAGGTACCGGAAGCAGCAACTACAAGGTATGACCCAAAATCCAACTAAAAAAAAAAAAAGAATAATTTATGCATCAACTCCTCCCAGTCAGTTTTATAGGGCACAGGTTTGGGTTTTGTAGCCACAAGTGGCAGAACTTTGGGCCTATTCCCGGCGGTACTTGAGGACACCGTGTTGTGCCAGAGATTGTACCGTGGCAGGCTGCTTGCAAGGAAGGCCAGGGCCTACACTCCTGGCCTAGCTCTTACCCCAGGAATTCTAATTCTATATAAATCCTGTGAACCTCGTGAGAAGGACACAGAAAGGCATGAAGGGGGGCAGGGATGAGGCTCAGCTGGTAGAGGCCATGGCAGGGCTGCTGGCACAAAGGAGTTCCCAATGTGCCCCTGAGCGGAAGCACAGGCTGCAAATCAAAAGGTTTGAATTGCCAGCAGGGGCCAGGAAGAGAGACCAGTGGGTAGGGCAGTTCCCATGCATGCAGCAGACTCAACTATACACCCTGAATCCCAAGGAGTGATCCCTGAGCACTGCAGCTTTAGCAGACCCCATCTCCACTCCCAACCACACCCAGCTAAAGCAAAGAAGAAGTCATCTGCCAAAAGCAGAGGTGTGAAATCCAGTGATAAAGTTCAGTTCAGAGGGTGTTTTTTTAAATAATGTAGGAGTACTGTTATATGTTCCAGTTCAGAGGTTTGATTTTGTTTTGCGGCCACACCCAGCAGAGCTCTGAGCTTAAAGGCCAGGTTTTCACATACTATACAATTTTACTCCTTTTAAAATTGAAAATTAAAAAAAAATTGAAAATCTAGTAATAAATCATTACATTTACGGCCAAGTTGTTTTTAATAAACATGCCATTTCAGTTTAATTGGGAAAGTACTTTTTCAACAAATTATATAATTATATGAGAAAACTGGATATCTACATGAGGAAGAGTAAAGTTGAAGTCCTCTTATCACATTGATTAAAGACCTCAATATAAAAGACAAAACTAGGAAGTAGAAGAAAAGAGACATCTGGTGGGAATATTTTAATGAAAGAAGAGAAAATAGGGGAATATTTACAAAACAGTTAATACCTTCCTCAACCCCCATGACCCTTGTGAGGTTAATTTTATGTACATTTGTCTGAGCTAAGGAATGCTCAGATAAATAGTTAAACATGATTTCTAAGTGTGTCAGAAGGGTGTTCCTGAAGAGATTTGATTTGGCGGAAGGAAGTAAAGTAGATAAAGCTACCGAATTTAGACATTATTCAATGTACAGAGAGCCCAGTAGAATGAAAAGGTGGAGGAAAAGTTAAGTGTCTGCGGGGCCATCCATCCACTCCGCTCCTCTCACATCCACACTCCTGCTCCTTGAATTTGGACTCAATTACAACCCTGCCTTTCTTTGTACTTTACAGAAAGCCGATCATACAATTACTGGGCCTGCATAATGAGTCAATTCCTGTAATAAATATATTTGTACACATACACATACTCGTACATTTGTGTGTATAGCCATATAAATCTATCTCTTCATGGTTATGGTCCTCAGGGGGACCTCGCCTGCTATACCCCTCTACAAAGAGTAAATTGGAACCTCCCCACTCAGAGAACTGTACTAACAAAGAACAATGTCTGAAGTACTGACATCAAGGGATCCCCCAAGGAAACAGCCAAACCAGATGGCTCTAAACTGAAACCCACACCCACAAGTCCCACATCTGTGTGCAGACTAACTTCGAACGTTTAAAGTTCCACTCAGAAATACAAGTAAACAACCAGAAATTCCCTCCATCTAAGGAAAAACTGTCATGAAAGAAAACAAAACAAACAGGAAAAAAACCCGACTTGGGCTGAAACCAATACTAATGCAGGGACCAGGGAAGAATTTTTTTTTAAGAAGCTATCATAATTATTAGGAAAATAGGCAATATTTCTTCCATAAAACTATAAATAACTGTCCCCCCAAAAACCTTAATAGAAGCTGTATGAAAGATTAATTTCAGCGAGTCATTCAGAAAGTTCAGCCAAACTTAAAAAGTTGAAAAGTAGGAGAAAAAAATTAAAAGACCAGAGTAAGAGTTAGACCAAAACAAGAAAACTGAGATGGAAACAGACCCATATTAGGGCACACACATCACAGTCAAATTTTAAGCACTGCTGACAAGAGCCCTAAAGGAGCCAGTTGGGAGAGGTGTACTGTATCACTGTATCACTGTCATCCTGTTGTTCAT